AACCGAGATGTATAATTGATCCTTGAGGAGCACTGTGGAGAGCTATACTTATGTTACAAGGCTTCTTCCAGGTTCATAGCTAGACTGAACTGAGGTATGTCAGGAATTTATAATGTACTTGCCCTAAGCTTTCCCCTTTTTATATAAATATATAAGAAATAGGGAAAAAATGGCCAGAGTCTCAGCTCTCCCCTGGTGTGTTGAAAACATGATCCTCTGAAGTAACTGTGCACCTTTTACATGTGAAGTTTCAGAAATAACAAAAATATTGTTATTGATTATGATTCAAAAGTACCTCTACCTACCTGTCAGTTTCAATCCCAAATTATTTCAACTAAATATTAGGCATTGCCTAAGTCAGGCCATATATTCACGAAGTCACCTCTGGGGAGCTTATTTTCTCTTCTGACCAAGGAGGGTACCTTTGGTGACTATATGCCCGCTTAAAGTGCCAAAACTTAAGGAAGGTACAGTGAATTAATATATAAATAGATATTTTGACTCTACTTTGGACCACTTGCCTAGGGCAAAATTAACACTTCTTCTCTAATACTCTAGTTTTAAACTAACTATTCTACCCTCAGGAATACTGTTATAGCCCCACTAAAAGCAACAAAACCAAGTAACCAGGTAATAACTATGTCCTGAAACTATAGATCACTGGAGATAAATCCCCCCAAATAAAGGCCTGTTTAACATACATGTTGAACATTCTTCTGCCCAGAAAGCCCCTCATGCCTTCCAAAATAAAATCTCACAGAAGCAGTAAGGAATAAGAAAGCAGTTGACATGATGGCAAGAGATACAGTGGTATCACCAAGGAGAAAAGATTAAGACCTGAAAGTGTAAGCCTGACTTTAGCATGCCTCAGCTTTCATGTCCTGCTCACCCCTGAGAATCCACGTTGCTGCTTCAAGTTATCAGCTAAATGAGCCTCTCTCTAGCAAAAATTCCTCCCTTTGTCTGATTTGCTCACTATTTATGGTACCTTAACTCCAAGGCTGCTGGAGGGCTTACAGGCTTGAAGAGATCTTTCTTTTAAGATAATGAACGACAGTGGTGATGATGGGTGTTGTATACACATAAAAGGGACTGAGATATCATGGTAGAAAACACCTTGTGGAACACGAGATGAAGAGATAGGGGAAAGTCAGATGATCATTCAGTTAGTCTGGATATCATTTGTATTTTAGCACATGTATTTAAGTGAGAGGCATAGGGAAACTTGTTCAACTTGCTCTCTCAGAAGAAAATGCATAAATCCATCTTTGCTATCATCTTTCAATTGCTGAAGTTTTCAAGGGAAAATCTCTCAGATTAAGCAGACAACGCATGCTTATACTCTTCGTTCTGGAGCATGTACCAGCTGCTCACATCAGGCTGCCTTGTGACCAAAGGAGAGCAGCAGCATTAAGAATCTTAATCTTCCTCACAAGCCCTTTTTTATCACCTTCCCATCCTATATTTTCACCTCAATTGCCATACTGGCCTTGCTCATTTCTGATGAGACCATCACAGCACATTATTTTAAGTTCATAATAACAATAATGAATTCAAGTTTCTGTCACCCAACCTGTTTTAATGACTGTAAGCCAGAGAGGCTGCACAACAATGCAAGGACTTACACTAATCTGGGCTGGGAGGGGGGCACATTCTAAGGAAGGCAAACAAATAGTGGCAACATTGGCTCATAAAGTGGTACGGACATCTATGTTAGATTGAAATCACTGTGCTGAAGTTAAAATGGAAGCAAGGGGCATCATTCATCAGCTATTTTAGCTAGAGGTCAGTGCATCTAGAGGATGCTGTAATTTTCCACTGCTTTCTGCAAGGACGGGAATTACTTTTTTCTCAGTACAGCTCTGCTCCACTCTGTGATCCTGTGAGCATAATCCCTTGACACTAAAGCCTCTTATTGACAATGCAGTAAACCTGCTCTACAAGCATCAGAAAAGGGAAATAAAAGATGTTCCCAATTTGGGTTTGGCAAAACATGACATTGAAATCAGCTAGATATTTCCAGATCAGTAGGAGCTTCAGTCAATAACTCTCCTTTCAGAATAATGCCAGCAGACCTGTTGACAGCACTCAGAACCTTCTGATTTAAAATCTCTATTTGGGTTATTGTTAAGGCTGTTATTCAATTCTTATCTATTTGTTGCTACTCATAGACACCATTTGTGGGGACAGCCTGAAAATCTTGACTGAATGCTTTGGCTGTTCTGCATGAACATTAGTTACAGGGTCATAGACTCGTTTGTTGGGGATTTACAGGAGGAAAGCAAAAGCTATTTTTGAGAGAATTTGGATCTGAGCTCAGATGCTGTCAGGAGCACAGCCTCCTTTTGCATCCGGGATAGTGTCATTCCTGCAGTCCAAGGCCTGAATCCCATCTTTGTTTAATTAACCTGAACTCAATTGTTGCTGAAAATATTTGCAGAATTTTGTGAAGCTTCCGCTCAGTCAGCCAAGAAATTCTAGGAACAGCTCAACCTGCCACATCCTAAAGTTGAGATCCAGCAAGATAAGATGCAGGAATTCATTCCCTTAGCACTGAACTCATTGCCAAATTGAAGTTCAGAAGCTATCTGAGAATCTAATTCCTGAAGGATGGAGGCATGAAGGACAGGCGTAAATCATTCCACAGCACACAGTGAGCACCGGGACATAATCAGAGGAAGAGAGTTCACAGAATCCAATTACTGAGTGGGCTGTGGGAGCATCTGACCTTCCTGAAGGACAAGAGGGAAAAGTTTCTGTGCTCACGAGTACAGCTGAGCAGGACAAGCATCCATTCACTGCAGATGAGATTCCTCCAGCAAGACTTCTCAAGGGAGACACGTTTCCACAGGCAGCATCTGCTGAAGGTGTTTCCAACACAGAATCCCACCAGTGTTGTGTTGTTTGTCCTTTAAGATAAACTGAACCACATTCCCCATGAGTTTTACCTTGAGCAAGTCCCAGCCTCTATGTAACAGGACCTAGGGTTACCCATAGACGCCACATATGGGCAAGGACACACTGTGCTAGCTCTGCCTTGATGTCTGGGAAACCCATGGCTGCAGCAGGGCTGTGCCTTCCTGCATTTCTGCCAGCCCCACAGCTGGGCTCTGACTTGGATGCTGGCATGGCGTGAGGGGTGACGAGAGTCTGCTTAGCCGCTGATACTCTTACATGCAGCAGAGTTACTCAGCAGTCATGCTTTGTACTAGGTTACAAAATTGAATCAGTTACCTGCTTTCTTGCCAGCAAGCAGCAGTTTCCAGGTTGTGTAAGTGGGTTAAATTGTGAGCACAGACCGAGAACAGTGTCTCTCAGAAGGGGAATGGGAGAATCATAATGAAGGTGTGGAACTGAGTCCATGAAAGTCAGTGTATGGGGTTACCTGCACCAGCAAACACCAGCACTTCCAAGGGCTCTGGAGCATGTCCAGAGAAGGACGGCAAAGCTGGTGAGGGGTCTGGAGTACAAGCCTTACAGGGAATTGAGCTGAGGGAACTGGGATTGTTTAGACTGGAGAAAAAGAGGCTCAGGGGAGGTCTTATTGCTCTCTATAACTGCCTGAAAGGAGGTTGTGGCAAGGAAGGACCGCTTCTCCCAGCTAACAGTGATAGTACAAGAGGTAATGGCCCCACGTTGCACCAGGAGAGATTCAGGCTGGATACTAGGAAAAAATTCTTATCTGAAGGAATGATGAAGCAATGAAACAGGATGCCCAAGGAGGTGGTGGACTCATCATCCCTGAAGCGCTCGAGAAACATGTGGATGTGGCTTTTAGGGACATGGTTAGTGGGCATGGTAGTGATGGGCTGATGGTTGGACTAGATGATCTTGGGGATCTTTTCCAATCTTAATGATTCTATGATTGGACAACTGCTCTGTGATGTGCCCCTGAAGCATCCCTGACTCCCAGGAGTTTGTGATTCAGGAATACGGTGGGTCAGACATGCTGCCCTGGCAACTTACAGCACTCAAATAGTTTTTTTCTGTTAAATTTGTGCAGCCATTCTTGTGCAGCTCTGTAGCTCTGCAACTTTTCATACACCATTTCCTTTTTAATTTTGAATGTACTAATACTTCGTTTATTATTATTATTATTATTATTTTAAAGAAAGAAAAGAAAAAAGAAAGAAAAGTATTAGTTTAGAAGTTCAGGAAGATAGACAAAAAGTTCAGCCCCAGAGAAAAACACAGTGTGAAACATCATTGTAACTGTTGGATTCTTCCCTTGCGTGTACTTATCAGCACACTCCTGACCCACCGCCTGCATAAGTCATTGGTGCAGACCATTGCAGTTTATTGATGCTCCCAGAACTCCTGATGCTTTTCCATGAGACTCAGCTCTTGAGTAATGTACCTCTTGGCTACTTCTCGCTCCTCTATGCTCTATCTTCCATTTCAATGGAAGATGTTTTGCTGACATCGCTGTAGAGAAAAGTTGTAGAATGCATCCTCGGGGCACTCGAGCTTCTAAGAACGCAGTTTACGGCTTCAGAGAAATAACAGCAACGCGTTCCATGCGAAGGAATCGCATTAAACACACCCACTCGGTGATGCACGAGCCGCTTCCCGCCGGCGGGGAGGGGGCGAGGAGTGGTACCCGGACCCATCCCACGGGGCCGCGCAGGTGGGCGCCGGCACGGGCGGGCGGACAGCGGCTTTCCGCAGCGGGGCGCGGCCGGGGTGCGCGGCGCCGGGCCGGGCGGGAGGGGGGCGCCGCCGGGGCGCTGCCGGCGGAAGGCGCTGGGTGCCAGCTGGGAGCGGGGCCCGGCCCGCCTCGGCGCTATCCGGCCGCTGCCCCCCCCCCGCAGGAGCAGCGCCTGCGTTGGCTCCCTGCCATCTTTTTTTTTCTTTTTTTCTTTCTTTTTTTTTTTTTTTTTTCGGAGGGGGGTCGGGAGGGCAGCGCCCGCTTCCGTGGGTCCGGGAGGGCAGGGCCGCCCCCCCGCGCTGCCGGGGTTTGTGCGCGCGTCTCGGGCTCCCGCTGATGACAGTAATTTTGACGGCGATGTTGCAATGGGGCAGAGAGTGCGGGGCGGCCCGTGAACTTTATAACGCTGCCTCATGTAAATCGCCCTCGGCGCTGCGCTCATAAGCGGGACAGCAGGAACGGTGCCGGCCTCCCTCTACTCGCCGCCTCCCTCCAGTCCCGGAGCCGGCCAGGAAGGGCGCGCAGTCGGGATTACGGCAGCCCGCACGCAGCTGCAGCGCACGGCTCCGCGCAGAGCCCGCATCCCCGCGGCGATGAGGGGCAAAGAGGAGAAATCTTCACTGAAAGGTGGGCTCCGCTGCGCTCCGTGGGGGCTTTTTGCAAAGCGCTCTCGACGGAGAAATAAAACCCAGTGTCGTGCGCAGGGCTGGAGCACGGGAAGGGGTCAGGAGCAGTGGCACAAGCAGGACGCGAAGAGGCGGCAGCGGGAGGGGGTTTAAAGGGTGGGGGTGCCGGTTGTGCGGAGGAGAGGGGGGCAGTACCCGGGGGCTGCGGAACGGCGGCCGCCCGAACGGTGGTAGTGTAGAGCATTGGTGTTGTCGCAGCCCTGGAGGGGAGCGCTCCTGCTGCTGTCCACCCGGCTTTTTTTTTTTTTTTTTCCTGTCTTTTTGTTTATTTGTTTTCTACTACTGAAGGCGGCAGTTTTAGCAACAGAAGGAGGTCGGCAACAAGTAGGAGAAGACAGAGCCCCGACGGCTGCACTCAGCCTTCCGTGCTGCTCCCTGTCGCCCCTTCCTGCCCTGGCTCCGGCTCTCCTCCGTCCCCCGGAGCGCGACTGCCGCCCTCCCGGCTCTGTTCGCTCCTTTCTCTATCGTTGTAAAACGTTTTGCGAGAGCCGTGACCGTCCCGCAAGGTCGGTTCTCCCCGCCGCGGGCCGTGCTGTGCCGGGCTTGCTCCCCGTTCCCGGCCCCGAGGAAGCAGCCGAGGGATGCCGCCCAGCGGCCGCCAGGGGTTTCGGGACGGGGGGGGCGAAAGGAGCCCCAGGCGGGAGATGGGGAGGGGGGTGATGGGGGCACGGCGCAGCTGGAGCCGCTGGCGGCAGCCCAGGAGATCTGATATGAAATGAGTGCGTGCGTAGTGCCCGCCGGGCGGAGAGTACCCACGGGGGAGCCGGGGGGAGATGCCCCGACCAGGCTCGGAGCGCCCGCGGGGCAGCGGATGAGGCGGGTGCACAGGGAAACAAACTGAGTGGAGGGACGGTCCCCCATTTCTGTTAATTTTTGGCTCGTGCGGTTCTTCGTCATCTCCCCGGCTTTTTCCAGCAGCAAAACTCGGCCCTCTCCTCCTCCCAAATTCAGGGAACTGGGATTTTTTTTTTCCCCCTACATTTCCCTTTCTGGCACAAAGAAGAAACGTGTGCTTTTTTTTTTTTTTTAAATTTTATTTTATTCCCTTTTCCCTTTCAGTAATGTCCCGACCGAGCAACCGGGCGTAGGGCCATTTGTTTGTTTTATTGAAAACCCGGGGCAGGAAATCTCCTTCTCCTGACTCACTGTGGCTGCTTCAAGGAAACGTCAAACGCCGCCTTTATCGCAGCTCCCCGGGGCCGGCGACTTTCCGAAGCGCCTCTTTAGGGCTCCTGCACCCGGCCAGAGAAGGCAGCGAGCACGGAGCGACTCCGCTCGATCCCTCCCCCCCCGCCGCGACGTTATCGGAGGCCGGCAGCCTCTGAGGACGTTGCGAGGGTGGGGGGTGGGGGTTGGGGGGGACGAGCGAAGCCGCCCCGCCCCGATCCCGCCCCGCTCCGCCGCCACTTAAGCGCCGTCGGGTGCTGCTCCCGGGCAGTGCGGTGCTGGCAGCAGAGCTCTCGGTGGCTCCGCAGCCCCTTCCCAGCGCAATGACAGTGAAGGCGGCCGAAGCTTCGGGTCCCGCTTTGACTTATTCGAAGATGAGGGGAATGGTGGCCATTCTCATCGGTGAGCGGGAGGAAGGATGCTCGCGGGCTGCATTTTTTTTTTTTTTCTTTTTTTTTTTTTCGGCAGGGCAAGCAGATGGCTAAATGCTTTTTGTTTTTTAACACTCCCTGTCTTTTTTGTTGTTGTTGTTTTATAGCTTTCATGAAACAGAGAAGAATGGGGCTTAATGATTTCATTCAGAAGATAGCCACCAACTCCTATGCATGCAAGCAGTAAGTATTAGCAATTTAAGACGGGTTTCAGTGACAAGGGAGGGTCAGGTTGGGTTTCAGGAAAAGGTTCTTCCTTAGAGGGTGGTTGGGCAGTGGAGCAGGCTCCCCAGGGCAGTGGTCGTGGTAGTGAGCTTGCCGAGTTCAAGAAGCTTTTGGACAGCACTCTCAGCCATACGATCTGATTTTTGGGTGGTCTTGTGTGGAGCCAGGAGTTGGATTCTGTGATCCTTATGGGTCCCTTCCAATTCAGGATATTCTATGATTCTAACAAATCCCACAGTTGGTTAAAAAATTGTTTACTGTAGTGCTTCTGACATGACTGTTACAGAAGAGTTAATTGCTCTTCGAGGTATTAGTCACCTTGCGGCAAATCTTCCCGAGCAGGGTTTGGGTGAAATTGGTTGGATGGAATTTCTGTTGTGATCCGTACATATGGCATAAATGCATTTCTTTTTATGGTAGAATTTACATTCTGTAAATTAGTTTTGCTCCTTAAGCCAAACAGATTGTTGCTTTCTGTAATAGACCAAGCCCAAACTCATCTTTCCTCAGTGCAGTCCTTGCTTGCCCTCTGGTGGAAAAATCCACTTGATGTTTTTGGTAATGACTAACACATACTCTCATCATTACAGCCCTGAAGTTCAATCTATCTTGAAAATCTCCCAGCCTCAAGAGCCTGAACTTATGAATGCTAATCCTTCTCCTCCGGTAAGCAGATTTTACGCTCCATGAAGCATTTTTAGAACATCAAATGAGCTGATAATAGAAGCGTAGCAAAATTAGCATCACGAGTGTTACTTCAGTTTATAGTGCAGTGATGTAGGTGGGGGAAAAGGTGATCAAGTTAGCCTGGAACTTGTTTTCAACATGGAGAAGAAAATTCTTAAATTAACCTTTATTAGTTGTAGCTTCATTATGCAATGTGACTAAGACCTCAGAAAGAATTCTTAGATTGGCTATTGCTGTTATACTTCTCTTGAGTAGTACCAAAGAGTGTAAGTCATCTGGTAGATGTCTAGTTTAAAATTTTAGTGATAAGCAGAGTGTTTGTTCTCACTTTCAAAGTTACTTTATCTATGTTAAAAAAAAGTCTCACTGTTTTATGAAAACTGTTTTCTGTGTGTTTGCTTTTCTAGCCCAGTCCATCACAGCAGATAAATCTTGGCCCATCATCCAACCCACATGCCAAGCCATCAGACTTTCATTTCTTAAAAGTTATTGGAAAAGGAAGCTTTGGAAAGGTAAGCATAACTTCTTTTTACTGTAATTGAATTGCTCTTCAGCTCATGTATGTGGTGATGCATATGGGCTGTGTTTGTGCTGCCTTTGGTGAATGGCAGTCATTTAGAGCAGATATGGGCAGTGCTGCTGCCCAGTGCCTGGCTCTTCTGGGCTGCAGGGAAGGGAAGCAGGGTGCTGCATTTCTGTGAGTCACAGTAGAGCAAGGGAGAGAGTAGGCAGGGGTGGGGGTTCTTCAGCTCAGGAGGGTATGTGTTTCCCTTCTGGAAGGGGAGGCCACTAACAGTAAAAACTAGATTTATCTGTGGGAGTGCTGACAGCTTTAGGCACTGTCAGCACAGAGCTTGCATGCTGAGCCAGAGAAGTGGAGCAGTGTTCAGCCGTTAACAGAAGGGATTGTTTTCTGTTGTGTTTACTCTGTTTTGTAGTTTAGCATTTCTCACTTCTGGGAATCTGTCTTCTTTCAGGTTCTTCTTGCACGGCATAAGGCAGAAGAGCAGTTTTATGCTGTTAAAGTCCTACAGAAAAAAGCGATCCTGAAGAAGAAGGAGGTGAGCTGCTTCTTAGTGTTTTTGTTGTGATGTTTGTCAGGTTGATTTTTACTGCTGTTGCTCAGCAAATACTGTTGCTGAACATTGATTTCCGTGTGTTCAGGAAAAGCACATCATGTCAGAGCGCAATGTCCTGCTGAAAAATGTGAAACACCCCTTCCTGGTCGGACTTCACTTCTCCTTCCAAACTGCAGACAAACTGTATTTTGTCCTGGACTACATCAATGGTGGAGAGGTAAGCAGTAAGAAAATCAGGTAGTATTTCCTATCATGTGTGCAGTAATAGGGTAGATTTTTTTTTTTTTCACCCTTCCTTTTAAATAAAAATTGCTCCAAGGGGAAAAAAACATGGGGAAAAGTTACTAGAATTAATGTTTCCGGCCTGCCAAGTTTTGGACTACCAAAGGATCGTTAGGCCATTTCCTGCCATTGTTCTCCCTGGCTATATATGTTGAGTCTAATTAAGCTCATTGTTAACAGGCTCTGGCGCCGCTTTACAGAACTTTGTTCTTTCTGTCTCCTGCAGTTGTTCTACCATCTCCAGAGGGAGCGTTGCTTCCTGGAGCCAAGGGCCCGATTTTATGCTGCTGAAATTGCCAGTGCGCTGGGCTACCTGCACTCCTTGAACATTGTCTATCGGTAAGCAATGTTGTTGGACTAAAACAAACCATGCCCTTTGTTTAATAAGCATTAAAAAGTTTACATCAATATTAGCCTAGAGTTTATCATTTTCTATGACTTAATGAGTAAACAATCTTCTGACTCCAGCTCTTCTAATGAACGTCTTTTGTTTTATCTTTTCCTACAGTGACTTGAAGCCGGAGAATATTCTGCTTGATTCGCAGGGGCACATTGTCTTGACTGACTTTGGACTCTGCAAGGAAAACATAGAGCACAATGGCACAACCTCCACCTTCTGTGGCACACCTGAGGTACGTCCAGTCCTCAACCTGCGGTCACAGCTCATCATTCCCATGTGCTTTTCTTGTGGGTGGGACACGTGGGGGTTAGGATGGGTCTTGTGATATCAGACTGCGAGGACCTGTGACAGCTTGTTGATGAGGGGAGAGTGGCTATCAAGCCCACTGCTGTTTTTAAAAGTACTTGCATCTTCTTGGTAGCTTAGATACTGCTGGGATTCAGTGAGGTGTTTTCAATCAGAAATGGGGGGGGGACTGTACTAACTAAACAGATCCCTTTTACTAATGTGCTTCTTTTCCTTCTCTTCCACAGTATCTTGCTCCTGAAGTTCTTCACAAGCAGCCCTACGACAGGACTGTGGACTGGTGGTGCCTTGGAGCAGTCTTGTACGAGATGCTTTATGGACTGGTAAGCAGTGTATCCTCACTGACAGATCAAACAAGCTCACTGTTGCGCTCTCAGAAGGCGCATACTCATGAGTCAGCCCCGTAACCTTGATCTCTCCATTGCTGTTCCCGCAGCCGCCTTTCTACAGCAGGAACACGGCAGAAATGTATGATAACATCTTGAACAAACCATTGCAGCTGAAGCCAAATATTACCAACTCTGCCAGACATCTCTTGGAAGGCCTTCTGCAGAAAGACAGGACAAAGAGGCTTGGTGCCAAGGAAGACTTTGTAAGTGCCAAACGAGCAGTTCTTCCTGTGTGCGCTACAGGAAGATGACTAGGTCATATTACTTACATTAGCTGGGGTCTGAATTAATCTATTTTTTTTTTCTCTCCCTAACAGACGGAGATTAAGAATCACATCTTCTTCTCCCCAATTAACTGGGATGATCTCATTAATAAGAAGATTACCCCCCCTTTTAACCCAAATGTGGTACGTATCACTTCTAATTATAGAATGTGTAAGGAAGTGTCTTCCCACATCTTCATGGGGTGCCCAGAAGCTAGAGGAAACTGGCCACATGGAGGTGTGGTTGGGCAGCACAGCTTTCCTTATGGCCATCCAGACAAGATTAAAAATAAGCAGTAGCTGACTTTTTGCTGATGGATTTTCTAAATTTAGATGGTTTTTTTTTTGGGGGGGGGGGCGCCCGGGGCTCTCTGACAAATAAGTACTTAATTCGTGTGGCTATTTTAATCTAATCCCCATGTTACCAAAGGGGAAGGTAAGGTGCAGAAAGTTGGTAGATTCCCATGCATAGAGCAAAATTTGGCTTGTCAGCTAGTAACTAAGTGCAGGCATCTGGTTGTGAAGGTGGTTCTCTTTTACTGTTTGAGCATTTATTTTTCTCTAGAAAATAGGAAGGTCTGGTCTAAATAGTGTGTTTTTCCTTTTGTCTCCTTCACCAGAGTGGCCCCAATGACCTGCGGCACTTTGATCCTGAATTTACAGATGAGCCAGTCCCCAACTCTATTGGCCAGTCTCCAGACAGCATCCTCATCACCGCCAGCGTCAAAGAAGCTGCTGAGGCTTTTTTAGGCTTCTCATATGCCCCACCTGTGGACTCTTTCTTGTGAACATTTTTTCTTTCTTTCTTTCTTTATAATAATAATAACTATTATTTTTATTTTTGTTTGGCCTTCTGGTGGAATTGCCAGTTGACCGGTCACCTTGAAACAGAATTTGCACATTTCCACCATGGCAGCTTTGCAGCCTTAATTTCAACTACACTGTTTGCTGGAAGCTTTTTTGAAGAGCACATCACTCTCTGAATGAGCTTTGCAGGCTTTTCATTTCCATTTTTTTTTTTCTTCCCCCAAAGTGGTGCTGTCTCCTTGGGAAAGAAAAACAAAAGTGACTGCTGCGATAGACTGCTATGGCAGATTGTAGAGTAAGAATGAGCAGTTTTGAAATCGAGCTCTGAAAAGCCTTGCCTGAAGATCTTTCTGAATGTGATAAGGATTTTATGAAATGTGCCTTTTTCTGATGAGATCTTGTTAGCTCCAAAGCTTTCCCTGTTGCAGAGTGTGTTTCTCAGTTCATTTATGTGGGTTTACTATGTGAACAAATGGTATGCGTGTGGTCTGCGTATTACAGATGGACTTAGTGTAATGCATCAATGTGACACTTGCAGGATACCACAATGTGGGGCACTGTTTGTTTCTTCCATATTTGGAAGATAAATTAAGTGTAATTTTGAAATTTTCTTTTTGTAAATCTATACAGTCAACTGAAATTATTGAAATGGGCTCTCAATTACTTGTATCCAAATGCTTGAAGAAAGCATTGCTGCTATGAACAGATTTCTATTTTTAGAAAGGGTTTTTATGGACCAAAATGCCCCAGCTGCAGTCAGTCGAAGCTGTTGGTTTCTCTTTCTTTTTTTTTTCTTGTTTAAAAGATGTCATCTGTAAAATGGGCATTATTTATGGTTTTGGGGGTTTTTCATTCCTGGTTGTATGTATTGTAAAAAATATCTGTACATTCAGTTGTAACTCTAGATGTATATTTAAACTTAAAGACTTAACTTGTAATGTATACCATCATTGTTATGTAATATAATTAACATGGTTATATGTATCATATTTTTTTGTGACCAAACCCATTGGTTTGCAGTAAAATATTGAAAAAATACATCCCTGAGTTGGTCTCTGATGTAGACAAAGCATACCTACACTTCAAGAACTAAGTCACTAAGCCAATTGCATAGTAAAGACTAGATTTATTTTGCCACTGTGCTGCAGTTGTATGCTAACGCAGATTTTACTGAGGCCAGTGGAAATTCCTTATCTGGGCATCTGTCTTGGAGCATCAAACACTGCTGCAGAGTATGGTAGGGTGCAAGGTGCCTTGAGCTTGTCAGTGGTGACAAAAGCTACCACAAGGGCAGATTTCACAAACTGACTATATGCTTACTTGAATGGGGTATATCTGAATTTAAAACAGGTGTTAAATACTAACTTTTATTACTGACTACTGCTGGGTGGCTTGCAAGAGGGACCTGCTGTCAACTTTCAGCTAAGAATGAAGATAGCTTTTGGAGTGATCCCATTCAATTTCTTTTTTTTCTGGATGGATTGAGTGCTTGCACCTTGTTTACAGTTTCTATTTCCTCTGGTTACTGCAGCTGGTGTTCCTTGCAATTTGAATAATCAAAATAAGCAGTTGCTTGGAAAAACCTGGATAGAGTCTGCTGCAGCTCAGGTCATTGCAATAGTTTCACAGGGGTGATATTTCTGTTCACTATGTTCCTGAGATACAAGTGTGCAGTAACTTCCCATCTTTCATTATTGGATATAGGAGAGAAAACAGTGTGTTGCTTCAGCTATGAACTGTGTGTTTGGGAGATCACACTCAAAAGTTGAAAATGCTAATTTATATCAGCCAGGAAACCCCTCTCCTTTCAGAGCATGTTAAGACAGGAAAGGGATGCAGCCACCTTCCCCCTTAAATTCAACAACCCTTGAATTCATGTCATCAGTAATTCTTTGAATAGTGTTCTGATGGGCCTTGCAAAGTTTCCACAGCTATATAGTGTGCCTGAGACATCTTTTGTGTTGATGGCTCCTAGGCCTCTTGAAAGACCAAGAGAAAATGAAACTGGACTTGCTAAGCCATGAAATTGTGATATGTTCTATCTTTGCCTTCCGTTTCCGTCTCACTGGCAAGGTGCTGCATGTAGATATGCAAGCAGAGAAGTGCAGCCCAAATGTAACAACACAAAATATACTTTCTACTGTATTCAAGAAAAAAAAAAACAAACCACTGGAGGCATTAATAATGAAGAAACGGAACTTCAGTGACTCAGAGATGTACACTGTGTGCATTTAATCTTTGCCAAGTACATAGTATAATTTTAATGGGTTACATTTTAAAAATGGTCTGATTGTAATTTTAAGTAATCTACCATGTATAAACTTGTTACATTGCTACTGCTTTGTGCAAAAGTCTGTGACTGTTAGCAATGAATATTCAACGCACCACCTCCATTTTTTAGCGTAGGAAGGGTGAGTAATTTGCCTGTGTTTTCAATCTGCCTGAATCTAACATACTAAAGGCATGCCTGAAAGGAGATAGTCTACTGGAGTCAGCTGTGCTACAACTGCCATCGGCTTGGGAAGCTTTAGTTAGCAGGGCAATTGAGAGAAATAACCTGAAACAAAATATCATATTATATCCCAAGTAGTGAGCATGGTAGGATCCTTCTACACTCATTGGACAGTGTGTACTGATGGTAATACAAACATAAAAATGCACAGGTTCAGATATTTTACACAGTCCTTTCTGTATGATTTGTCCCAATGCATTACAAGCCTTGCTTCATTTCATGAACCTTAGGGAGTTAATTGAAACTTATTGGTGATGAGGGCGTTCTTCGTATACTCTCTCTGCAATCAGCAGAGTGGCAGGCACTTCTGCAGAGCTATCTGTATCTTAAGTTAAAGCAGGAGATGCCTCTACATGTTTCAAATGCTGTTATAAAGTAGCTTATAACCATCTGCCATTCACTTATTTTAAAGATCTTCCAGAAAATAATTAAGAACAAGACTTTTGTATAGCTTTGTACCTGAAGTGAAAAATTTTTACAAACACTAGAAAAAAAATGGAGGGACATGGCTCAGAAAAGAGATTTGATGGTGGTCCTAATTAGGCTGGGGTACTTAAAGCATGATGACGTGGATCAGGGCCCATCTGCAGTATTCAACATTACTCTCCTATTTTGCTGTAGCACTAGCTCTACAGATACTTTTGTGATACCATGTGAACAGTTTTCCCCAGTAGAGACAGTAAAATAGTTTATGTTAATTGCGGTTTCTGACACTCCCCACACCTATTATTTTTTTTATGTCAAAGCCAATACATAAAGATTGGGATAAAATTTTCCATGTTGGCTGGGACTATCTCTGGAAAGTTTTCATGGAAATGCTTCCAAAACTTTTCTTTCTTTCTTTTTTTTTTTTTTTAAAAAAAAAAAAAGCAGATAAGTGCCGCACATAAGTTTTGAATTAGAGGCAATCTGGTCAGCAGATTCTTTTATTGTCAGGTAAGGCATTAGATAAAAGTTTTTTTTCTTCAAGAGATTGAAGCTTAGTAATTTATTTCCTCACTGTAAAGGTAGGGTAGGTACTCTACAGTACTCTTATACAATGACTACAAATTTCCACTCGATCACCTGCAGCTGTGAAATAAGTTTTCCAGCTTTGCTCTTTGGAAACCCAGAAGAGAGATGGGGTCTATTGTTTATTCAGGAGTTTCCTCCCATGTGTTTGAATATATAAAAGTGATGAGAGGGAAAAAAAGAAGAGTGAACCTCTGTTGTTCTCTACAGAGTAAGCACAGCCTAAAGAACCCAACCTGCTCTCACCTTGTGCTGCACTGCGAAACGGCCTTTGCACGAATATCAAAGGGCCATAGCCATGTCTGGAGAAGGCAGTCAGCATCCACATCCATTCAGTCTCTGGTCTTTGTACATGGTACCATGAGAACGGTGATGGTGGAACTTTCTTGTGTAAGTGCTTAGCTGTACCTCAATGGGAAATCCTTTGAATTATCTCACCACTTATGCCAATATTTGCTTCTGCACACAGCTGGAGGCCTCTCTTCAAGCCATGCTGCCCTGCTATGGGCTCTTTTGGGTCTCGGTGCAGGGAGGTGGTCTGGGCTCAACATAAGTCTGGACCAAGGGTGACATCGTGTGGTCAGGTCGTGTAGTGTCTAGCTTCTGAGTGGCCGTAAGCACTCGGTAGTACAAATATCTGTTAGCTTGTCTATCTCGAGATAGCTGTCATTCTGCACCTGGCTCATCAATTGCTTTAACTTGCTATTAAGAGATGAGAGTGGTCTCAGAACTCCAGACCTTGTTCCACACGGGCTTCATCTTCTGATGACAGACTGTTTTCTTTCCTGAAGCTGGGCAGGCTGCAGTCTGCCCAGACAAACCCCTCCCTCAATCAGGTGCCGTCCCCTCTGTAATACCTAATACCCCTCTCTAGATCCACCAGCCTTTGAGATGCTCCCATCTGACACAAGTGTTCCCTCCATTTATTTAATTACTCACAAGTGTTTCCCGCATTTTAGTGTTTTGGTACATAGAATGTCAACTGCTACAAAAACTGTTTATTTATTGCCTCCCTCCCTGTCCTCTAGCAGGTAGGCCCAAGCTGTGACAGCAAAACAACATGCACTATGCCAATGGACTCCTTCAGCAGCTCCTGTGTGGGACAACTGAACTGTTCAGTGAATGGGCTGTAGCCTGCACTGGTTTGTTCAGGGAGGATCTGTTCACTGTTTTGGTCCTCTCCGCTGTGCAGGGGAATATGAGGAACCCAGTGGTTTATGCAAGGCCTCTCATTTATGAAGAGAAGATATCTCACTGCTCAGACTATCTCTTATGAATGTAATGTATGAAACACATGAATAAGTTGTTATTAGGATAAGGCCTAAGACTACTTCAACTTTATCCTTTTTTTTCGGTACTCATAAACATCCTCCTTGATACTGAGATTTTCTGGTCTTTTGAGTTTGAAAACACAGAATTAACATTAGTATATTGGAGATGTAGTACAGAGATCAAACTGTTTCAAAAATATATTCTAAGTCAGTTACTTTTTTGCTGTTCCCAAGGAGATCAGTTCATTAGTTCAGGTAAATGAATATGTTGCTGTGATGACAGCTGAGTAGATATCTCCAAGTACAAAGTATACGCTATTCAGTGAAGTTTCCTGCTGAGAACTGTGCTGTATCAATTGCATTGTATATGCCAAAAATAGCCTTTAAGTGGATTTGAACAGAAGTAATAGATGCCATACAGCCATAGTTGAAGACTGACTGTAAAATAGCCTTTAAGTGGATTTGAACAGAAGTAATAGATGCCATACAGCCATAGTTGAAGACTGACTGTACTAAGGCACACTGAAATAAGAAATAGAGCCTATGTGTGAGTATATAGGGACTCAGCTTTTCCAAAGGGACAAAATAACATGCTGACTTCTTTTAATCAACAGTCACACAACATGCTATGGGAGATGCTTCAATGAATAATGGTAAAGAGGGTCTCAGATGTGACATGTTTCCAAATTTGGGCACAAAGTTGCTCAGTGCTCCAGGATCACTTGGCATCAGGGTTAGGAGCACACTGCGTATCCTGGGGTAGATGTCATCCTTAAACTCAACAACCAGAAGAGGGTGGTATAGTTATAAGCAATTCACCCGCTATCATTGGTGACTAGAAGCTATAGAGGTATATTGATATAAAAAAGATGCAGGACTGGAAATCATGAAACTCACTAGGGAGCTGAAGTATTTTACCATTTCAGTTGCTTGCAAGTCTTGTAAGTCATTGAAACAAAATTAACAAAGAAAAGCTACATTTATTTAAAACATCACTGCAAGCCAGTAGAAGTCGCATCAAATGTGACTATGAACATACTGGAAAAGCATGGGTTTTTAAATTCTGGTTTATAGGTAACTAGTAATATATTACTCCTTATTCCATGGTCACTAAAATGAAATGTCAGCAGCTGAGAACCAGGAGAGAAGGGGAACAAGTGTTCTATAAAATGAAAAGTGCTGGAGAACAAGAAATATGAAAACACGGGGAAAACATATTTTTGAACTTTCTAAAGCACGTTAGCTG